TACAATAAACCTTCAATTTGCATTTTTCATAACACAAAGTTCGAATTATTGAACTTCTTCACATTGTATCTTGTTTCGTCGACCATTGCTCCCACTCGAACCAAAGATATTTAGAAAACCTCTCCTGACGTCACTTGAGACATCGATGAGAGATCCAAAACAAAATAATTGAACAACACACAAATAAGTAATTCCAGAAAAAATACGTAAAGAATACTAAAATTTAACGTGGAAAATCGTGAAAACAAAAAAAAAATCACAGAGCCGCATCACACCAAAAAATTCATTATGAAATGAGAAGAAATTGTACAAGATACATCTCATCAAACCTCTTTACTCTCTTGGAACTCATGAATGCTCATCTCATTTCTCTTTCGCACAAAAAAACTCGAAGAAATCCAACACCGCTTCGCACTATACGTACACACCTCCCGTGGAGAAGAAAACACAAAACTTAAAGTCTAAAACAATAGAAATAGGTTACAACCACCACTCCATGAATGCCAAGTTTACGGACCCTCTATTTTGGAGAGTTGGAAATGATTCTTCTAGGCACGATAGCGCCCCTAATGGCAACAATTTCTACCAGAGAACCTTTGGTCGGCGCCTACTCTGGCAATTGGCTACCCGCTGCCAGAGACATCGATTCCCCGTTGGACAGTTCATGAGTGCTTCTCCTTGACAATCAGGCTCCACACATAACAACCTCTTCATTATGAATCTATATTCAATTCTCTAAATGATATTTCTATATAACTTATTCATAAGACTATTTCGGATTATGAGATTATCTCAATAATTGATGGTGGATTCAAGAGATATTTCACTAGCTTGATCGACCTATTTATGATGATTCAAATACTACTTTACAAGAAAGAATAAATATATGTTTTTATTTACTCGATGAGTTAATGCTAACTAAATTCAAATCTAAGTCTCTCCAAGTTGGGCATAATAGTTAAAAATCTATATGTTTGTTCTTGTTGAAGACAAAGCCTTGAGCTTTGATCTGTGCAATTTTTCTTTATTTTACTTTATTATGATTTACAATTCACCGCAAAAACAAATTGTCAAGTATTGACAAATTTTAATTCGCCGACAAATTAAATCTACGAAATCCAAGTGAAATTACTACCAAATAAGAAAGACAATTTAACACAAAAATTTCAATATAAATTCTCATCAAATTTCCAGCACATATTTCACCAATTAATTTTTTTTATATATAAGAATAATTAATGACATAATATATTCATAGGCAACATCCCTGCTTTCACCATGACATAATATATTCATAGGCAACATCCCTGCTTTCACCATTCAGATCTGTGCAATCTTGTTAGCCCCCACCCCACCATGGCATTTGAAGAGTAAATAGACAACGAGGCTGAAAGTGTTGAATGATCTTTTAAGGTAACATAAATTAAATAATCTTCTACATGAAGTTAATGGAGTTTTATAAGTTTAAATAAGAAATATCATGTTTAAGCTTAATGTTGTGGTATCATAAGAATGAACTTTTATACAAGCTTGTTGGAATTTCTAATGCCTAAAATCCATAGTTTGTTTATTTTGCTTATTATATCACGAACAATCAATTGATGCCTATTAATCTTCTATTTCCAAATCATTTTGATTTCACATACAACCGGTCATATTCATATTTTCCAGCAAGTAAGATTAACCTTACACTTAAAGCTACTATCTGAATAAAGACATAATTACTATAATTGATGAATGACAAAGGTATTTATCAAATGGAAAGAAAGGTCTCATAAACAGATGATTCATATACGTGTATACATACATATATATATATATATATATATACAGAAAAATCCAACAACTATGCCCCAATTCATTGAAAGAGTACAATTTATCATCAAAGTCAATTTTTTTTCAAACTAGTCAAAATTGATGTGATGGTTCCGCTTTCTAATCAACTTCACTATCTATTCCATGTTTCAGTGACTTGGATCTCTTTCAGCAGCTGTTTCCCTATTTCTCCTCCAATAGTTCTTTATTTTAAGAGATTCTCCATTGTATTTTAAAATTATTATAGTAACATAAAGAGGGTTGAATCAAAACTAGCTTGATCAAATTTAAACTGAATTTCAAATACAAACTCACTAGCACATGACTAATTTCATGAGCGACGAATTCAAAATGCTCTACATAAATCTTTACATAATATTTAAACACTCAAAGTATCTTTTAGGTGCATAAGTATTTTAAAAACAATTATTAAAATTGTTGCTCGCCGTACCCTATTGTCATTACCGATCATCGTCACCGCCCACAACCTCTGATTACCACCAACTACAAGCCGCCCATCACCCTCATAAATTAATTTATTCAATATTCTAAAATAAATTAACTTTTTTTCTTTTAAAATGTCACACATATTTGGTTTCAAATGAAAATATAAAAAAGCTAATAACATATAAATAAACCGTAAAATACAAAATATCATAGTAATCCCAAGCAACACCTGAGGTGAATCCTCAACACATTATTTTTATTTTCAAATGGCTAAACCTTGAAGAATCATGGTGGCTCCTTTAATCAAATAATCATCCTTCACTAAGGTTCATGGGCTTCTTATTTTACACTTTAAATGTCTAATTCTAGGTATTTCTTGTTCTTTTTTAAATTTAAGTTGAAAGAAGAAAAGTACTACTCATTCTAGGTACCATGAAATTGAAGCACCATGCTACATGAATTAAATTTCCATCTTATGGTCTAGGTTTTAGTGTAATATCTAAGTTGAAGCTGCTACCACTCTCTAATTTGACTTTAACCTTGGCCAAGAGGTTCCACCAGATTTTGAGGACTTCAGAAAATTGAAGATGAACATACTGTAAAAAACAAATTTTATGGTTTTGTAATATGATATGTGATACTTATGGCTTGTTTGGGATCAATTTTGTTTTTTTTTAAATCATATTTGTTTGATGCGTTTTTTACATGTTTTAATTTCTTGTTTTTAAAAATAAATTAACATGTTTTCAAAAACAACTAGAATAACTTTTAGGTGTTTTGAGTGTTGTCAAAAACAAGCATATCTTAATCAAACATAACAAACTGATAAGATTCATGGAAAAAAATTCAGACAAAAAATATTTTATTGCAAAAATATTAAACACTCAAGAAAATACAAAGATAAGCAGCTATAATTCGAGAGGTAGACGATCTCTCCCAATTCATACAATTTGAGAGGTAGGAAATCTCTCTCAAACTATAAATCTAAGACTCACAACAATAATCTCATGCATAACACTAACCATAAACATATTATAGTGAATAATAATAAACGTAAAAAACCTAAGTTATCCTTAGGCATACAGAAAACAAAATTGTCCTTAAGCTAGGCACCGGTGTAACACAAACATGTTTTATTTCAAATCAAAACATAAACAAAGCAAAATAAAAAAATAGTATAGAAACTAAATAACAAAAGTGATCCCAAACGGCCCCTAACTAGGATGTTTTCTATAGCTCTTATTTATTTTTTTTAAAAACAAGCTAAAAAATACCAAGCATGTTAATGTCATACTCTAAACAATCAATAGTCCAGCTGACTTAATTAAACTGGAATATTTTCTACTGCTCTTATTTACTGTTTTAATTATAAGGTAAAAATATTTCGTAAATTAATTTCTTTTTTTTTTTTGAGATATATTAATTCACATTTGGGCTGATGATAGCATCTCGAATGAAATTTGAACCACGTGGGCTAAATTGAGGATGATCATCGGTTAATTTAGAGCATGCTTGAAATGATTCAAGACGGTTCCAAATTCAACGGACTTGGTCGGGTAAACTTAAAAACAAAATCCATATTCATTAGAACAGAGTTTAGGTCAAGCAAAAACATGATAATCACTAGTTCATGCTCAGTCCGGCTCATACAAAACTAACTCATATAAAACCTACCTAAAACTAACTTCACATACAGGAGAACTAACTCATGGAACAGTGAGATGACGGCAAAAACATGCACTTCATTATGAAAAAAAAAAAGTAAGGAAATCAAATGCACTAAAAAGCTGCTGCACGATTAGTTTGCATTTCCCATCTTTAAATTTATGGAGCAAGAATGCATTCATATAATGAATATGACAACATATAAACACAAAAAAAACATAGAGAGAAAGGAATAAAATCACTAGAGAATGGCTTCTCATACCACATCAAGTAGATGCTAACAGTATAATACTGCATTATACATAAATTACAGCATTAAACATGAGAAAAAGCCTCAAGTTGATTTTTAACCTTGCATATAAATTTTTTGAATTCATTTAATACATTAAATAGAAAGGAAATAATTGTCTTTCTTGAATCATTATTATCCAAAAACCTCCCCAAGCAGTTGTATATTCATGTATTATACAAAAAAAGGTCGTACCTGAATCCAAAAGCAAAATAAGCTAAATGTCAATTTAAGGTATATGTAATAGCAGTTTGGCTAGATTTTAAAATTTAAAAAGTTTGAAAGAAAAGTAGATACACGAACTAGCAGTTAAAAAAGAGAAGGAGCACAGTTATTCCGTGCACCTGACCAGGTAAATTTGTTATAAGATAAAAGATTACTTAAATCTAAATAATTTTGGATGAATCTCGCTTTAATCATAATGGAAAACTTATTAATGAGCCAAGCCAAGCTCAACTTGAGAATAGCATAGATTAAATTCAGCATACTTCAAATTATACGGTCGTATATAAGCATGAAATTATTTACATTTCCATGCACTTAAGCAAAAAATGCATGAATTACGAAAACATGCATTGAAATATGTTCGAATGGCAACATCAGAAAACTTTTTACATAGATGATGTAAATTTTTTTTTTTTGTTGAATTAAGCTCAAATCAAGATCAATAAATGAGTCCTGCCGAAATTGATCTATTGCTGGTTTAATCAAAGTGAGGAAAATGACAACGTAAAAAACTGGAAAATACAAAAAAAAAAAAGCCCAGAAAATGATGCAAAGATACCTGCAGATGCTTGAAATGCTAAACATATCATTGTCAAGCCCCCAACAATACTGAAAGCCAATCTCTTTCACATACTCACAAACCACAAACAGAGCTTTCAGGCTTCTTCTATCTCTCAGCTGGCACCGCTGCAGCAGCAGCCGCTCAATTGTAGGGCAACATCCGAGATGCTCCATAGGTTCTGCCAAACTAACAATTTTCCTGCAACTTTGTAACCTCAAAGTCTTCAAGTTCACACAATATGATAGCGCTGCTAGCCATCCTTCCTCCATCTTGCTATCATCACAAATAGCAAGCTCTTCAAGCATTGGACAGCAACGTCCAATTGCACTGATTCCATCAAAGCTAGCCTCACATCCGCCCAGCTCCAGCTTCACAAGCCTCTTGCATCCATGGGCAAGTATAGTAAGCCCAATGTCACTCACCCCCGGACCTGAATAAAGCCCGTCCAAGGACGCCACCAACCGTAAAATCTGGAGATTTTGGAAGGCAGAGATAGGACGGAGCGCAGTGTCGGAGCAACGGTGCAGCTCCAGTTCCTGGAGAGTGGTGCACTCAAGAGCGGCGGTGGCAAGCCCGAACTCCGACTCTAATGGAGCCACAGTGCAGAGTCTCTGCAAGTGAGGGCAGCCATGGGCGAGCACGTCCAGTCCATTGTTAATGGCTTCGGAGTCAAGGAAAGGAAGCTCACCAGCAGAGTGAGAAGAAATGGGGTCCATATGGAGGGAATAAGGACCGCGAGTGAGGATTACTGGTGAGAATGACGATGGGGGTCTGAAGGCGGCAGGAACGAGGTCGACTTCAGTGAGCTCCCGGAAGCGAGTGGTGAGGCGGCGTGAATGACCAGCCAAGAAAGACCAGTCCAGAAGGGTGAGAGAGCGGCGAAGTCGATCGACAAGGCGGAGCCATCGCTTCGAGACAAGACCGATGTAGCCGAGATGGGATCCCCGAACAGCTGAGAGAATGTGAAGAAGGAGCTCGTCGGAGAGGAGAGCGGTGGCATCGTGGCCAAAACTACGGCACGGTGACGGGGAGGGGGAACTGGCGCGAGAAGTGGAGGGATCTCGGTTTAGGGCTTGATCAGCGAGCTGCATCTTAAAGACGACATTCTTGAAAGAGGGCTTGTCCGGAAGGAAGAGGTCCGGCGAGCTCCTCAATCGATGGCGGCGGGGGGTTTTATGCATCTACGGTTCCGGGGTGGTCATCCGTCTGCAATTGGGATTCGGGGCGGCGGTGTGAGCGTGCTTCTCCGCCGCATCGCCTCCTAGTTGCTCTGCTGAAGCCCGCTCCACTCCTCTCCTTCGTCCTTCATTCAAATTTGTCGGAAATAAATAAAATAAGGGTTCAAGAAAAGGGTATAAAAACAAGTGGTGGATTTGGGGCTGGACCGATTTGATTGATCTTGGTGGCCGGTGGGGCTTATGAAATTGAAATATTAGGGATTTAGAATTTGGGTTCTTTTTGTCTCTCTCTCTCTCTCTCTCTCTCTCTCTCTCTCTGCTCTGTTAGTTTTACTGAGTGGGAAGAACGAGAGCAGGATCAGGTTCCGGCAACTCTAATCTGAGTTTAGATTAAATAACTAAATTTGAGCTGGAGTTTAATTCTTCCAGCTCACACACGAACTAGCTAATTTGTTTTTAACAAAAGGAAAATAATATTTATTCAGATTAATGTTATCATTAAATAATAAATAAATGATTAATTAGAAGACAATTAATAATAATTTATTTGATATCAAATTTAAAATATTATTTGATGAGTGATCAACAAATTTTTAACACCAAACATGTAATTTTGAGGCATGACAGATTTTGATATACAAATTTAAATAAGAAACATTCAAACTTTGATTTCAAATCAAACAGAGTTGATTTAAACAAACTTATAATCAAACTGATCGGTTCGACAAGACCGACTCAATCATACAAAAATTGATCTGATTCACTCCAAATTAAGCTTAGATCAAGCCATTAATCCAGTTTTGGAAGCTTTCCGAGCATTTTTTGGAGGCCAAATGAATGTCGAATCTGGTAAGCTTATGATCAAATCGAGCGTCTCAATACGTAAAATCCAAGGAACCTAATATCGCTCAATTCTGACATCGTTAAGACACATAAATGTCCATCAAACGTTGTTTAATCGAGAGATTATTTCTGAATCGTCCGATCAAAATAATTCATATTCCTAGACTAATTACACCCATATCTTTATAAATAGAGTTCATCCCTCTCATGAGATGGTGAAGGCCAACTTGAAGCTTAGAAGAGCTGAAGTCCAGCATCCGATCACGATCGTTTACGTTCCACTTATTACAGCAAGTTCATTCGTAAACCTATGTTGTAACTCCGAAGAATGTTCAACCCTTTCTCGTCTATGGAACTAGACACTATATATTTAATATATAGTTTACAGTTGATTTCTTCAATTGGGCTAGACCCCACGTTTTTTTTGTTTCTGAGTTTTCCACATAAAAATTTGTGATGTCTCTACTAGTTATTTCTTTTATCTGAGTATGTGTTGAATTCTCGTACAATGCTAAGATGACAATTCATTACTCTACTGTCACAAATTTTCTAACACACATTATTATTTTTCTAATATTTATAATAAATTATATATAAATTCATGAATTTTAATTTATTTTGACTATGCTTCATATTATTATTTTTTAAATTTCAGCTCATGAGTAAACGAGTCAAATGAGGGGTTCGATAAGCTACAATGATCGATGCATATACTACAGCTTGTTCTAGAATTGTAGCCAGTTTGTCTTGATGGTTGGAATCAAGCTAGACTTGTTTGGTACACATACTTAAATGTAAATAGCTATTTAATTGTTCGAAATAATAAGAGTTCAATGGGTGTATATGAATATATATTTACTCATCAGAATTTTATGAGTGATGTATGCTTTAGATTTGCACTCTTGTTATATATATTGTAACAATATTTTTGCTAGATTGCGTTAACATAATTGTAGGTGATAGTCAATGAATCTACTAAACGTTTCAACAAAATTTTAGTTTGGTTTCAAATGTCAATTTTATTACCATATGGAAAGTAGATGGAGTGATAGCTTCATCACCCTAAAGTAAGTATACTTCAGTCTAATAAAAAGAGTATGGATTTGTTTCCTTCTGGCTTTGATGTAATTGTGAATGTTATCTCTAGTGTCCGTTAAGGATGTTGATATAGGAAATGTTCTCCACCTAATCACGAGGTGAACAAAAGAGGCTTAGGTTGACAACTTGCTGTAAGAATTTGGGTGTTGAGCTTGGCAAAATGGGAGCTTGGGTCAATGGAGCAGTCAGATTGTATGACTATCAATGAGTCTGATCATTTCAAAACATAGTTGCACTTTCTCTTTACTTATTTTCGAAATGCATTCATATCCATATTGATACACCATCAATTAATTTCCAACATGCAACACGAATCTCAAGGTGTGACAAGGATCTTGAGGCATCTTTTGAGCAAAAAATATTCAAATTTCAATTAAAAGTCCTCCAGAGTTTTAATTTCAACAAATTTATAGTAAAGCCGACCGGTTCGATGAGACGGGGCCGATGACCCCAAAATTAATCTAATTGAAGTAAATTCAAGCTCTGATCAAACCATTAAACCACTTATAGAAGCTTTTCGAGCATATTTAAATGGTCAAAAAAATGTCGAATTTGGCTAGCTTGTAATCGAATCGAGTATCTCGAGAAAAAGAATCCAACGAATCCAAGATCACTCAATTGCAACATCGTTAAGACGCTCAAAATTCTATCAAATATTGTCTAATTAAAAGAAGCTATTTGGATCGTCCGATTAAAGTAGTTTATATTTATGCATTAATTTCGCGGAGAGCTCTATAAATAAAACCCTACCCTTCTCTTGAAGAGGGAGGGGAGCTTGAAACCTTTAGAAGGAACTAAAATCCAACATCACTACTACCGTTGTCGACCACTGTTAACAACTACCTGTTGGCTACCATCTATCGTTATCATGCACTGCCTCTTATTTACGATGAAATCGTTCTCTCATCAAAGTTGTAATCTGGAAGATTTTGTAATCTTTTTCCCATTTGTGAGACAACGAGTCGCTATAATCATCAACTCATAGTCGCTTTTTACAACTGGGTCATACTTCGTGATTTTTTTCCTTTCTAGATTTTTCAAGTAAGAACTTCTCGTGACTCAACTGATTGTTTCTTTCACTTTAGTGTGTGTTGAATGTTCATACCACACTAAGACGATAATACCTACTATGTTATTGTTTTATATACTAAGCAGCTAAGAAACATATGTATTATGCTTAACTAATTTATTACTCTTTTTAGGACATATTTAATTTGACATTACACAATTTTTTTAGTTTTTTTTTTTTTTCGGGAATAATGTCATAAATTTATTAATGTTGTTATTATTCTTGTCGTGACGCATTCTGTAGCGTAGTTATTCACTCAGCACACAACATATCTATATATCACTCGTATATAATTGATTCAATTTCATAAAAAAAATGCTATTAAAGTTGAGCAATAAATAGATATTATTGTGCATAATTTAGATTTTTTACACTTCAACATATAGTTTTTTATTTTATTATTCTCATGAACTTATGCAAATATAATTACGTTTCTACTTCGTACATTGAATTGCTATTATAATCGTTCTATTTCACATGTTGATTTATTTCATACACCAATTGCTTTGCTTGTTTGATATTTAGCTCAAATATTTCATATTTATATTCATTTGAGTTGCAAAGGTGCACATGACATCCTTTTTCTCATTTTGTCTTATGATATGTGCCTTCAACTCATGCATTTTCATATAATTATTTTATTTTCAATCATTTTTAAAATTATTTCTTGAAAATTATGAAATAACCAAATGATGTTGTCCAAAGTAAAAAAGGGCATGATTTATGTGATATATTTTTTTATTTATCTATTAAATGTGTACATGTAATATATAGTATATTGATTGAGGGTCTGTTTAAGGCGGCGGTGCGGTACAGTTTTGTCAGTTTGGTTAAACTGTTTTTCAAAAGTTGTCTCTGAAATCTGCATTTTCCCATCACTACTGGCTATGTGTTGTGGGGCAGCTTTCTAGCTGCAGTGTGACTTAAAAAAGAAAAATTGTAATAGGCACCAGAACTCATCAAATAATTATATAGTAGCTTCACTGTTGCTTTTTAATAAGCTGCAGCTACCGAAACATACCCTAAATGTGAAGTCATTGATAAGGATTATCAAGACAATGGAAGAGAAGTAAATTTGATGCACTCATTTCTTCATGATTCAGCATAAACAATAATCTCACTTTCAAGATATGCGCTGTCTAATTAGGTAATCATAAATGAATAATGACAATATAAAAAAGTCACACTCATTCATGCCAATTAATTATGCCTAAAAAAACTATATTTCACTTCTTAAATGTTAAAACTGTTGTAGTTTTAAAGACGTGAAAGTTTTGGGTGATATAATTGGTGTTGGATATATAAATACATAGAAATTGTGAGGTATAATGACATGTAAGTAATAAAAATATAATTAAGGTGATCGATATGTAAATACATAAGAATTAAGGGGATGCATGCAAATCATTCTATAAAATACAGCAATTTTATTAAAAGAGCATTCAAATTTATGTGGAGTGAAGATGTAGGTTAAATACATTGAATTAATAGTTTTTAGTCTTAGTTTATTATTATTATATTCTAGATTTTTTTTTTGAATTTTTTTTTTGCAAAATTGTGATTTTAGTCATAAAATCTGCAAATGCATTATTCACACTATATTACAGTTATTATGCTAATTATGCTTAAATATTTACATGTTTCATTTTATCAATTTTATAGTAAGTAGTTTACTATTTTTTGTATTATACTATTATTTGTAAAATGAAATTAGATTATTTTTATTTTAAAATTGAAATAAAATGATCTTGTGCCAAATTTTTTAGTGCCTATTATATAGATGTATACATAATTATGAGTATATAAAAAAAAACTAATTGATTTTTATTGTAGTTGAATTCATCTGCCGAATTGGTTGAATTAAACACACATGCCGAAATGATTTAATCGAGCTCACCTGTCGAAGTGATTGAACCGGGTTTAATTGTCGAAATGGTTGAATCTAACTCTCCTACTGAAGTTGTTGAATTTAGCCCTGGTAAAGTGGGCGAATCTAGCATGTCTGTTGAAAAAGTTACTTTGGCTTATTGTTATAGTTTTCAAGGAGATCATGTAAACCTGTCATAGTGAATGTAGCAATTTAAGAAAATCATCATGACTAAGAAGTGCAGTCATCAATCTCTCATTTAAAGACTTCACTTGACACTATAATTCAATCCCATTGCCTAGACATCAGGGATTGCCACCATAAAGGTAATATCTATTGTAGCTGATGAAGACTAATATTCACAATATTGGTCAGTAAGAAGTCAATAATATAGTTTTTGATGTTTCACTCCAATATTTTTATATTATTTTCTATCTCATGAATAAAATAATCGACCAGAGGA